CTACAGGAGCCAATCCAGTAGGTGTCTAGACCATACCATGGCCCCCAGAAAGGACAGTGGAAACTTGTAAAAAGTTTTTCATTCCCATCACACTAGTTAGGGCATTCAGTGGCGACTCAGACATAAGACCCTTCAGTTATAAGTAGTCATTTACACAGAGTATCTTGCAAGGTAAAAAGCTGAAAGAGGCTCACCTTAGAAACCCCAATTTTCTAGTTGCTTATGCTACAGACACATGCTTTGAACTCTGTTTTGAATGACACTGCAACTTTGAAAATAGCCCTCGACTTTCTAGTAGAGGGCTCTAAGCATTTGGCTAGTGGCCAAACTGGAGCATGCGAGACAAGGGAGTGTTATCTGTGTAACATTTCTATTGGAAAGCCAGAGGTGGCCTGGAAAAGGAGCCAAACTCCCGGGGAGAGTTCACAGCTGACAGCTCTTGGCAAAAGAAGTCAGCTCCTTTCTAAGCAGCATTAGGTTCAGGCACAGTGCCTTCTCCTGGGATGCTCTGCTGTGTTGCCAGGATGGTCCCCGCTCAGTTTCTGTAAGTACCTTTCTCCATGCATTTCCTTGTAGCGCAAAGGCTGAGCTCCCAGCTCAGGCCTGGGAACTCCAGTGCAAAACAGAGCATGTTGGGAGTTTCATCCTTCATTTCTCTGTGTTTAGATTCCTGTCCGCAAAAGTTGGAACAAGTGAGTGCTGAGACATAATTCAACACTAAACCTACAAGAAACTATTGTAGACAGTCTTGAGATAACATCTTATTCAAAGAAAGACCTTCCAAAAAAATTGAAAACTTAGAAAATAATTATAAATGCCCTCCTTCAAGTAGATCTGCTGAGGTCTACTTACTGCAACAAATTCATCATGGTTTGGTTCCCAATTCATTCAACAAACAAAGCAGCTCCTAAAATACTTTCATTAATTTAATCAAAGACAGGCTGTGCAGGAGTATAATGATGGATTCAGCCATGTACTTTCTACTAGTTTACACTATGAAGTAATCAATATGATGAAATGACACAAAATTATGAGGCACCATCAGTATTGCATCTTTCTCATTGTCATGGTTGAATTAAATTCTACAACCACCAAATAATTACATGCTTTTGGAAGAACAATGGTCATATTTCAGTTGAGTTTTGTGAATGAGTAAAGATAAGAAGAATCAACTTTGCACATACCAAGAATTCTGTTCTTGCCAAAGTCCGTATTTGCATTTAATCATAAAATGAAAAAAAAAGCCTCTGAAAAACCAGTTCTTATGAGTAGTTTAGAGTCACTGAGTGCACGGACTGAAGAATGGCATAATTATTCTAATTTTCTATTTAGTTTACACTTTCTGGGGTACAACCAAATTTGCCTCCAATGAAGCAGTTTTGGCAAATTTTATCAATAAAACAGGAAAAAAAGATACAATTTCTAGAAGGCATGGATATATTTATGCTCTACACATGTAAGCTATAGAACTATATGTGCTTTATTAAGCCCACGAAGTGGAAATGAGACACTGGGGGCATATACACAATGCCCTTGTGCAACAGCAGTATTTCCTGAAGTCTTTGGGGCCAAGCAAAAAGATCGTTGTGCCTCACAGTTTCTTGGGCCCAAAGAGAACATAAGACTCTTCATGTCTCTTACTGCTTGACAGACAGATCTGTCCCAATCCTTTTGGGTCCTCAATATTCAGATGAAACTGATTCATACATTTTAATAATGTTGTATGTAGGAGCTGGTTTTGGAGCCTTAGCTTCCTGCCCAAGCTGATCTCTGCAGGGTGGTTGAGAGCTATGGTTTCCTCCTCTGACCCCAAGCAAGGGGGCAGTTTGCAATCCATGGTACGTTCATAGGCTGTATCTCGACAATCTGTCTTCTGATCCAGAAAGTTGTCGTTGTTGTTGTTGTTATAGCTTTTTAATTTACTTCCATTTGGTCGGAAACCAAGAGCAATTACCGCCCTTGTTCTCATGGCAGAAGGATTCCAAAATCCAGTGCTCTTCAAGTCCTTCTAGCCAGCTCTCCCCCACCACTTCTTCCCACCTATGGACCCAGCCCCTATCTACTAAAATGGACCTCATCCCAAGAAGAGCAGAAGGATGGACAGGAGCTTCTGCAGGGCTGGGTGTGCTGTAGACCTCATACCTCAGAGAGACGGGGAAAAGAAAGGTCCAGGCATTAGTTGGCGGAGGTAACTTTCTTCTCCAGCAAAGAAAGGAAAGGGATGAAAATCCTGCAGGAAGATGAGGCAGATTGTAGAAGGTTCTGGACATGGAGATTCGGCAGGGAAGAGTGGGAGTTAGTGAGCAGAGAGAAAGACTTTGTACTCATACAGTATCCCTAAACATCGCTGATTCTGTTTGCTCTGCTGAGGCCTTAAACCCTCAAAACCTCTGCTGATCCATTCCAGCTCTCACCCCCTTATGTTCACTTCCAGTCTCTGAAAGCATACAACCCAGATCTTCCCCTTCAGTCCTTACCTCCTTTCACCCCCAAAATCTCTGCTGATCCATTCTGGGTCTCACTCCCTAATGCTCACCTCCCCATATAATTTGTATTACAGTAGCAAACCTGAAGTGCAGGTCAAGCCTTGCTGCTGTTTTCCAGCTCTCCTGTCCTGCCCTGGTGAATTAGGAAAATACTTGGATCTAAACCAAGGAACTGAAGCCACAGTTTATCATTGTCAGTCGAATGCTGCCTTCAGAAGCAGGAGGAGAAGAGGGAAAAGTTAAGGGTCATATCACGACAAAAGGGCATGTTTTAAAGAAAAGTAAGAGAACTGTAAGGAGAAAATAATCTATGGAGAGGTCCCTCTGAAGCCGTGTTGTGGCTGCACTGTCAAAATTTAACTCTCTTCAGAAGAGGTCAAGTAGTAGTGGCTAGTGCAGGTGAAGCAGGCTGCGCCATGGCCCCAACTTCTCCCTCATCACAGCGAGACCTCGCTGTGGCAAAGTGGGATGAGGACAAATTCTCCTCAGGCCCTTTAGTCCTTGTGGCTTCTGCTGAGTGCAGCCGTGATGCTTCACGTTCTCACACTCTGTCCTCACACCTGCTAACAGAGACTGGTAACAGCAACGGGCTCTATCCTCTGGGGACTCGCGGAGGTGTACTTTCCACAGGGCGCGGCCTGCCTTCCTCTGACAGGAGAGCTCTTCTTCACCCCACGGACCCCCTGCATGACGCTGATTTGGCTTCGGTTTTCACGATTTATGGCTACGGCATCACGCTATTATTTGCGCTAAGCCAACCTAGCAGTCGAGGCCCCTCAAAAAGGCCCCAGTTCAAGGACTGAGCTCCAGCTGGAGATCGGCCACGCCGCACGTAGGCCGCCGCGTACCGGTTCTATCTGTCGGACAGAACAGCTTCCGCCGTTTCCCGTACCGTGTCGAAGACACCCCACGGGACCGACGTGACAGAACGTACGCCCGCCGTTCGCGCCGA